AATGAAGCAAAAACCAGCGGGAAAAATACAGGACCATGTTTTTCTATTACATTGAAGGCCACATGCAAAAATTCAAGCCCTTTCACGAAAATTTTTTTTCACCCAAATGGTCACTTAGCATGGTTTTGCACTCACCCCTTCAATTAACCATAAAAGAAAAGAGAATTTTTTCCCCTGGATCACAAACTCAAAATATGATCAATTTTTAGCATGGGATTGTTCAACGTGTGATTTCACTATTTTTTCTAGTAACATTTTAACAAACAATACCTAATGATTGTAGAAATTACATATGCAATGTATCAGGGACTTTCCAAAAGACGATTGTGCAAGGCATATGTCAGAAGAAAAGTCAACAATGCGTCAGGGTTTCATTTGTATATGTAATCGCATGCGCCCAAGGATTAAGGATTAAGGATTAATTTCACCCGTATTTTCAAAGTTTCACAAAATTACCCAAGTCTCGAAGCGAGGAGGGGCAATTTGGAAAACTTTGAAAATACAAGTGAAATTAATCCATAATTGCCCGAGGGCTCTTGGGATTACTTGTGTATCACATAAAGGGCAAAATTCTGTCAAAGGAAAACTTTCAAGGTCTTGCCGCTGTTTTTTACATTGATAAGGTGACCAGTGATACTAATAAGGCAACCTGGAGCAAAACAAATAAATTAACTTTCAATTTGGCAGCCATAAAGTTCTGTAACTCTGTGCTTCGTGAGACACCAGCTGTCCCCACTCAATTTTTTTCAGGCTGCGAATCAGTACATTTTTGGATGGGAAAATCCTTTTGCTTTTCCACCAAAAGACTGTGCTTGGCTGCATGTCGATTTTCTTTCAAGTTATAATGATAAGAGGACTGAGTGGAGTCCAATTCAGTCTGTAATCATACAAGTGATTAACAAAATCGGATGACCGCGAAGCGGGAGTCCGATTTGTTAATCACAAGTATGATTACAGACCGAATTGGACAACACGATGTCCTGTTACCAATTAATCAAAACTATGACAAAATTCGAGAAACGAACAAACCATCAATTGATTGCTGAACGATTAAACGTCGTTATGAATGCTAAAAAACAGCAGTTTACTCAACAAAGTGCACTGCAACAGCGTGCGCAAAATGACGCGTACTGTCCAGTTACAAGCATGACGTGTACACTGTCCAATTAATGCTCAAATTGGGCTGCTGATAGCCAATCACGTTTGAGAATTTTGTTATAGTTTTGATTAAAGATGAAATAACCGTGTTTAGATCAAACTCAGAAGTCTTGCATTTCTGAAATTCCTTTTCAAAATCCGTTTGAAGTGGGAAACCAATTTAATGCAGGCATGCTTAGCCAATCATCAAGTAATCATGCCCTCTTGATTACCAGAAGTGCCCTTGTGATTAAGCAAAAATGCCCTCTGTCCAAGCCAATCAGCATTCGGTAATTTTGCCCCGTATGTGATAATGCTTGAAATAACTTAGGTCTGGCCCTATTTCTGTCACACAATGCTAGGGAATCCTCATCATCCTCATCTAATCCACTTTGTCCTATGGGGGGCACAGGGTGTCTACTACTGCTTCCATTTCTGACAGTCTTGAGCCACTCTTTTGGCCTTGCATGAACTCATGTTGATCTCCCTCATACCTTTCTGGATGCTTCTGCGCCACCTAATTCTGGCACACTACATGTATGACTGATCCTCTCACCTAGCCCTAGTGTTACTTCCTTCGGACATGATCTAGTGATTGAACAAAATCTACCTCCTCCTGCTCTACCTGTGCTGGCATGGTGGTGGTGGTGGTAGCAACCATTGAACATTTTTGTAACCTTAAGAAAATCCACTGATTTGGGGTTTGTTCCTTCCACCTTCACCAGGGCCCCATACCCTTGACAGACCACATCACCATGTTGGGGATGGGGTTTGTGTAATCAGGGGAGACAGAACATGGGTAGATGTTTCCTTTCACTAATGGGATTTGGTACCGGCCTGTAGTTTAGCCGGCAGGTTGATGCTATTGTATTTAATTTTGCTTAATATTGAACAAAATTTGCTCTAGTCTGACCTGGCCCAAACTCACATTTTTAATGTCTTCAAGGAAATGGAACATATGGGTCAACTGAAGTATACTGATACCTAAGGCTAGCAGGAGGTATAGGCCCTTTCATAAATGGCTGCCAATTAGAAATACTTTTATAACATAAAAGGTAACCTTACTACCGGTAATCTAATTTTTAGTGCAGAGTGCACTATTGGGATGGTTTAGGGGACTGCTGTTTGCTAAGTCACTAACTCAAATAACACAATAAGGTGTAAACTTTAATATTCGTTTGATTAATTAATTTCAATTAAGCGATTAGCCTTGCAGAAAGGGGGCCCAGGTGGGGTAGGTACCCGTGTGCACTACCTGAAATGTGTTATATTTACATTGCTGTCATTGAAAACACGACAAAACTACATATATGTTTTCGCAAATCTCTTGCTATCCTTGTGGTGAAAACACATGCACAGATTAGTTAGCGTCAGTATTGACTATATATAATTTAGGGGAAAGATACATTTCATACTGAATTACACACAAACATTGAGTGCTTTTCCTTGTGGTAGAACACAACATGTAAGACGCATGCGTTCTAGTGTTGTTAATGTGGTAAACTCCGTTCTCAAGTTCAGATCCACTCGTTTTTTTAAATTTTTTGAGTGATACCACACTCTTGTCTTGACCGGGGATAGCAGATATATTTCGGGTAACATCAGTGCTCCCTTTTTTAGGGGAAAGAATGCTACGGTGACTACGTATCTTCTAGAATCACCCCTGGCTTGTTTCAAGAAATTTTATCTGCTGTTTTGTAACTCTTGTGTGTTTGCCAGGGTTCAAATAAAGAATGGAAACATATTGCTTTTCCTTAGCAGCTTGTTTGTTTCCTCTTCCATTAGAGAAAGCCAAAAGTTCATATTCAGCGGAAACTTTCCCGCATTAGTTATATGTAAAACTAGTAAATTTGTGGCAAAAGAAACTTTGCAATTATTGCTGCAGACTCTGAAACTGCCAATTAATTTCCATCAGTCACTGATGTAGGATATAATTTCGGTCAAGTAACGATCTCTACCTTCAATACTTCTTGTTGAAACGCTCTTCAGTTGTATTAATCAATAGCGTGTATTAGTTTGACATAGTTTTATTGTTAGGACTAAAGGTGGCAACAGAATAAGAATGCACTATTCTGTGACTCAATGTGACTATTTGATAATTAGATTAGTTCTTGTTTATCAGTGAAATGAAAATTTGCATTTTGAATAACATAAAATCACTCCTGTTTGATTTTTTACCAGGTAATTAACTTTATTTGATTTATCTCCAGCAGGGAGTTAAAAATAATACAGATCTTTTGAGGAAACAAGGGTATCATGTTGCATACATGCACCTTGGCGAGGAAAACAAAATTATCAAGTTGTAAACGTTGGATTGAAAAGTAAAATTGTTACATTTGCTAATTCTACGTATTGTTGAATTTAAAACGAATGAAACTCAATGTAAAACACCACAATAAAATTTAAAACTGTCTTGATAAATGGTAATTGTAATCTACTAGTTATTTTTGGGCCTTGAAATAAAGTACAAACATGAAGCACACACTGCTAATATTATATCTCATCAAGTTTTTGTCTGCTCACATTCTGCAAAGTGGAAAAGGCTTAGTTGACTACCAAGGGAGAGAATGGCAGGGAGGAGGACCTGTGTGACTACTGTATCAGAACCGTAAATTACACTCTGCACTATCTGAGATTGTCTCACTAGTAATGTTTTTAATTCAAAAGAATTAATACTCTCAAACGAGGTTAGTGAAGCTAATTTAATTGCAGAGAAAGGAATTTTAAATTGGCAGCCATTCATTAAAAAGGATCTATTATGTGACCCCAGACCTGAAAAGCCAATAACCTTTTAGCATTTTTGGCTTGCCTTTACAAGAGTCTGTTATAGGATCAAAATTACAGTTTTTTACGTTTTTATTTAGGAAGTTCTATATAGTGAGACAGGAATGTTCTCTGATCTCTGCGTCTGCCACCTGTGAGAGGGATGGTCAAGTCAGTAACCATGGATTGCTTCATTATGTTTCAGGTTAATGAGTGGGAGGTTGGTCACAGAGGATTTCTTTATGATCGTCAGTGGATGATTGTAACTGATCTTGGAGTATGCTTGACTCAGAAGAGAGAACCACGCTTGTGTCTAATAAAACCCTCAGTGGATCTTTTCAGTAAAATTCTTTCAATCACAGCACCAGGTTATAGAATTTTTAACTATATATTTTGTTATTAACAAACATTAAACAGAGGGCGCTTTCCATTCACCCAAAAATTCCCGTGTGAATTTCCAGAAATTTTCTGTTGCAAATGGAGCAGAATTTTCTGGTTGACTGCATAGAGTGGAAAGCGATAACTCACACTTTTGTTTGCTTCAAATGTTTCAATAACTTCAAGGTTTTAATTGCAAATATAGAAGCACACAACTCTGATAAGTTGACATGGTGACATTTTATGGCCCATAGCGGCAGGGACCTTAAACAAACCACAACGGCAGCGAAAACGTTGCAAAACAAAGGGTTTAATGAATAACTTTGCATGCGTTATAAGTCTGTGTACATTTCTTAGCCAACCTATGCAAAACAAACACGTACACCACGGAGGCATTATTTTTATTGGTATTTATCAACAGACAAGTGGCAAGTAAAATACAATCTACTGATCCATTTTCGAGTACATGTCGCCGTCATCTTTATCTGGGATGATCGTAGTGATAGCAGTCAAAAGAACAAGCGCTGAAGAGAAAATTGCGAATTTACATAATTTCCGAAAAAGAGGACAACCTCGTGAGGTATACCCAAATATTCGAAAATATTTCTGGGAAATTTCCATTCTAATTGATTTTCATTCTGGAATTTCTGGAGTTTTCGGCTGAATGGTTTGCTTTTTGGAAATTGCGCAATTTCCGGATATTCTGGAACTTTCCCCACAAAATTTCCTTACTTTTTGTCCCCGTTTCGAAAATTTAAGAATTTTCGGTTAAATGGAAAGCGCCCAGAGGTTCTGGTAGTTATGTTACTTCTTTGTTATTGATTACAAAGGTATATATTTGTTTCCAAAAACCCTTTCCATCTGTGTGGTACTATTCTTCCTAGAACAAAGCAAATTTCTCCTAACACATGCGCAGAAGTAACAGTCTACATCACTGTTGACTATGTACTGGTGCAAGGTACATTTACAAACAGGATCATACAGGAATGTGTGTTTTTCCTTGTAGTAGAACACAACATGCAGGATGCATGTATTCTAGCATTGTTAGTGTAATACACTCCTCTTTTGTCCCAAGGGCCACACATTTTTGAGTTTTTTTTTTTTTTTTGTTAAAAAAAATACGTCTTAGTCAGCATGTCAGGGGTATGTATTGAATGGGTTTTGAGTGGACGGGCGATGCATGTGTCTCAGACCAAACAGATTGAAGCTTCTATGAACAACCAATCCAATTGCCGCTTGCAACAGTTCTGATATGCTGATACTTGCTGATGCCAGCGTAACCCTGCTTTGGCAAAGTGGTGGAGAAACTATTATCATTTGGCGTTGTTTCACAGGGGATTGTGATGACAGGAATTGAAAATATGAAGTTATGTAATTTTTTGGAGAAAAGGTGTTTTCGAATGAGGATTTATACTGTGGAAATAACGACAGAAATCACTGAAACCAGCAAAAACATTACCTTGAGGTGCAACTAGCCAGTGCTGGCTCATTTTTGCAAAGTGGTGCTTCCAACAGTCCGTGTATGGTGATACTGACAAATCAAAGGTTTCTCTGCATTCTCACTGACTCGTTTCGCATTGTTTTATGGTGGATTATGATCAAGGGAACTGAAACTATGATCCAATATTTTTTTGGAGGAAAGGTGTTTTCAAATATGGGTTTTATACTGTGGAAATATGAACAGAAATCTTGAAATCAGTAAAAATGTCACCTTAAGGCAGAATGAACAAGCCCTGTTTTCGTGTTTTGGAAGCTAAGTTTTGGATGAAGAGTAAGTGGGCACTTTTCTGTCGATAGCAATCAAAGTACATTTTTTACCACTTTATGTATATAAATATAATTTGCATGTATTTTCCTCAGTTTCTCCGATGTTCAATGTTAAATTGTGCTAAGTCTTGCAGTTGAAGTTTTTGTTTATGATGAATTGAAGCTAAATAATGCTTTTTGCAAGCGGTCATAATGTAAGCTTATTTGTTACCGCTTTGTTTACAATTTTTTTTAGTTTCTACACTGTCTAATCTTAAACTCTGAGAAGTCTCAGAGTGGTACAAAAGTTTTGAACTTACGAATATTAGACCACTGAGTCTTAAATGTTTTTGTTTCAAGCAAGTGTAGCAAGCTCATTTATTTTTAGAGTTTTATTAAAGAACCAATCAAATTGTCAGTCAGAAAATTGGATGGTATGTTGTTAAAACAGATTGCACGATTAAGATTATGCAATACCTTGCTATATACTTTTGCGGAATATTTCTTTTTAAGGATGTTTGCACTAATTGTGGCTGAGCATCCTTACTGGGCACGCAAATTCACACGCCACGTCATGCATGAGAGCACACGTTAAGTAATAAAATGAACAATGATAAGGTAGATGGCCATTGCTATAGGTTTGCCTGGATTTAACAATCTTGGACGCTCGGTGATCCCTACTTTTCTTTCCAGAAACAGATTTTATTTACAATGATCTGCACATTGTCCAAAAATGAACAAAAAAATCAATGTGGGAAGTTAAAAAAATTTCAAGATTTCTGTCCACGGGACATCGAATCCTACCATCTTGTGGCTGCAAGGCACGTGAAACTATGGTCGCTAAATGCGAACTTGTTTTTTAAGAAACCTCACCAATTGACTAAATTCAGTTAATAGGTCCACTTAAACAATATTTGGCAGAGAACATTTCACTTCAAAGATCTAATTGCATATCCATGATGTCATTCCGTCTGAGAGTGTCTTTGTTCTTTTGAGCTTCAGTATGGCTGCTCCTGAAGCGAGAACATGCTAGTGATTCTGTGGGAGATAATAATCAAGTTGAATTGAACGATCGGTTGGAAAATGCTCTGTGGTGTACTTGTGAGAGATGTGCAACCATACTGACGCAAAGAGAATGTGTTTTTTGCTGAGAACAGTAGGTCACCAAGATGGAAGGTACATTTTGCAATGAACGCAGTTAGTCAGAGTTAGGGGAAGAGGGGGTTTATTTCTAATTGTAAATTGCTCTCAGAATTGAACTGGTGGCTTAAATAAATCCCTAGTTTAGTGCTTTTGATCTGATTTGTCTTCATTTTTATGTTACTGGCGGTTCAATGTGGAGGGAGTTCTGGTATCACAGTAACTGACGAGTTTTCAATGGTGTGTTTAAATTGGGCGGATGCTTTCCACCTCACAAGTCTGTGTTTTTACTTATAAGATTTGGATACTTTTTGCTCGTGCTCGTACATGTTTGCCTAGGTTTCTTTACACTTAATTACGGACTACGTGGACTCTTGTGAAATACGTAGTGACTTAACATGTAAGATGTGAAGTGAAATCGACGTCTTTGACATGAAATGTGAAATTGACGACATTCCTTATCAGTACCTAAGATTTTTTGTGAGAATTGTAATTTGTATTGTTGGAAAGCTAAGCATATGTAATAAATTTTGGATAGAAGAAAAAACTATAGACAACTTAAACATGCGCAAACCAGCAGAAGGAAAATTGACTCTGCAAGTGTGTTTCTTGTATCGCATGCGTCGTGTTTACTGGCATTGTTACTTGACAAAGCATGCAGTAAGATTACAGCTTCATTTTTTATCGTGGAACTGCTTTCATTAGCAACTGTAATACCCAAAAATATGTGAATTAATGATGAATTGTGTTGATAACATTGAGAACAAATTGCAACACATTTCAGACAAAATATTATTTACTTGCGGATATGGGATTTCGCTATAGCAGGACTTGTCAACGGTAATTGTTGATATATAGATAGGGCTGATGTACAATTAACTACTTCTTCCGATGTATTTCAAATCAAATTAGACAGCATTTAAAATTTGTAAGTATTTTAACTCATCCCCGGCTGTCAAGGCTGATTATTAAACACGCTCTGAGTTTTCGGCTCACAAATTAAAGATTATTCGTTGACCACTACTTTGCCCCAAAAATCCAAATTATTTGTTTGAAGAAAATTGCCCACCTGAAGGTATACTGTTACCTTAACAGAGGTAAATTTTATGTCTCTCATTAAGTTACTTTTTCTGTAACTCTTTTTTTCATCACCAAAAAGGCTCTCAGGATTTAGGAAGGGTTATTTGACAAGAAAACTTCCCAAACTCTGCAGATTTCATGGCATCTTACTCCTTCAAAAGTGTCTTCTCGTTTTGGATGGCTTTTAAATGTACAATCAATATTAATTTGAAATGGTTTATTGGAATGCCAAAACTGAAGAAACTGTAATCAATCTGATCAATGCTGGCAACAGAATAAGACCATGCTACTGCGTTAAATTAGTTCATGTCATGAAATAAGTCCATAAAAATTACCCACCCATCTGCTTTTACTGTTAGCTACTGTTACAGACTGCATAACATTTGCCTGTCTCACTGGGAACAGCTCCACTGAAGTTCTTATAAACAAAGTTGCTGCTCAAATTGTCAAAATCAAACCTTGATAAAACTAGGCTTGATAGAGCGGTTTTCAATTGAGTGTCGAAAGTAATTAGGCAATTACTTTGGTTTTGGTTTTGGTTTTACTTCAGTTTGAGATTGGCCAAGTAGTCTAATTGGTAAGTAATTGGTTTGGTTTTGGTTTTACGACACTCAATTGAAAACCGCTCTATTACACTTCTTAAGGTGGAACAAATTCTTTGTATCGTAACCAAACTTGTTGGATTAACCTAATCACAATGCTGCCACTTCCAAAGCCTTTTAATTCACAAAAAATAACTCATGGACGCCTTGCGTGCCTATGTTTCTTTTAAGTGCTTGTCATTATTTGGAATAAAGTAGAAATTATGACACTGCTTAATTTCTTTCAATTCTTCAATAGGCTTCAATCTTCTCCACTAATGGTTCACTGAAAAGGAAAAGAGAACTTGTCATTTGTTCTTGTATTTGTATTTTATAACTATTCATCTTTTGTAATAAATGCTTTGTTCATTAGGAATGCCTAGTTTGGTGTTGCCGCTGTGCTTGCCATCAGGATATCAGGAAAAAGAAACAAGCTTTTGTCAAACCAAAGTCTGTGGAAATAGGTATTTTTCACAACAGTTAGCAAACAGCGTATTTTGTTTTACTTAAATCCATATGTTTATGTGAGTTTGTATGAATGTACATCTTGCTAATAGTAATGTCCTAATACATGGGTTTATCACTAGTGATAAATTGTACCATCCATCAGTGTAGCATGCCTAACATAATAATAAGGGATGAAATAAATCTTCATTATTTCATTGACTCCTGTGCCGCCCATAACTGCCTGTGGCAAGCGTTGGCCTTTGTTCCACTTCTGATGTCATCACCTTTAACTAAAATTGGCGTCACTTATACTCAAGATCCCCAGATCAGAGTGATTGGCTCAGTGGAGCCTGAACTATCTACCAAAATGCCCAGAAATTTTAGAGAAAAACTCTGAGGAAAATTTCCTGCGACTACACTTAGCTTCTTCATGGTAAAAATTGCCCGACCTGATGATGCTTTCTTTGAACTGGAAGCAAGCCCAGTAGAAGGTCAGTCATTACAGTAAAAAGATCAGAAAAGGAGAAAAAGGAAAGGCCGAAATACCTAGGTCACTTTCTCCAAATCTTGATTTCTGCACATGCCTGAGCAAAATCTCATAAGATATGATGCTAATGGAACAAAAAAGGCATGCTGTTGTGTTGCAAATGCCTTTTTGAGTAGATTGGAGCTAATTTGGTCATATCAAGGCTGAGAATCTCCAAAATTCTCCGGGTGTCAATGGATTAACAAGGTCTTCATCAGTGATTTACAGAAGGATCTTTTAGGATTACTACTGAGGATTCAAACAATAAATTATGGTAAAAATCAATTATAGAAGATCAGATGCAGAATGATCCCTTTTAAGTACCACCACTGTTTTGTTTGGACAAAGCTGCGCTTTAATTGAACTACGTGCGCCATGATTCTAGCATTGCAAAACAATGACTTAATCACTACATCATGTGTCACATGTGGGGCACATGATCTCAGAGGGAGCTCTCATTACATCCTTTTATAAGAAACAAAATGGAATGCCAAGAACAATCAGAAAACAAATGAAAGAAAGTCATAGTTATTATCTAAAAGAATCAAACAAGTCATGTCCGGGTAATGTCTTTGTCTCTAATGTCATTGACTTAGACTTATTCTTAACTCGTCCATGTTCATATCTGACTAACAACAAAGTCTTTCAGGTAGGCTGGCGGCTTTGTTACTTGACCACTGCAAGTTTCTCTGGAGGCTTGAGATGCTAAATCAGTTGTACTTCTGAGCTCAAGGGATCACTGGTGTTAGTTTTCTGTTTAGTGGGTTCAGGAGGTGAGGGAAGTTCTGTTTGCTTGGACATCTGAGTTGTTGGTGTGTGAGACTCTGGAGTTGCTTTCAGATGTCTTCTATTTTGTCTGAGGGCAGAACCATCCTCTGTGAGGACTTTGTAAGATCACACATTAACCTGCTCCTGAGCAGTAGCTTTCTTCCAGGGCTCCTTGGGGTTGTTTGTGGGCTGAATGCGCACTGTATCACCTGTTTGTTTTCAGTGGTGGTAGATCTCGAGCATTTCTATTGTAGTGGAATGCCTGCTTGGTTCTCATCTTCCACTTTTATTCTTGAACACCCTCTGCTTATATATGCAAATCTTAATTAACAGAAGGTTACTTAACTTACAGAAATAACAAAAACTCAAAAATATAAAAAATCCATTTGCTTAGATGTTATCACTCAGGCCTCCTTTTCGAATTGAATTTGATCTAGTATCCTTTAGGCCTGTCTAAGTTGCTGTTTGAAAAGCTGTTAATTTATTTAATTCGATTAATTTCATTTCCTGCACTGTTTTAGAACCTAACAGTGGGGTGCAGTCTTTGTTGACAACCACAAACGGTGCTTCACATTCTTTTTCAACCTTTGTCAACCAGATTAGTGCAACATCTTCCATTGATTTCCATTTTTGATCCATTGAACATGCTGAGGTCTTGCTTCAAATGTGCAATCCAGCATTCGTCCGCAAAATCCTTTTTGCTTATTATGTTACAAGTTGTCCCACTGTCAACTTGGAAGAGAATGGGTTGATCTTATTGACGTCATTGACACTTTGTTCTTCCATATTTTCGAGTGAAATCGAATTGCTTGAATCTAGTCGCTTGAATCCTGTGAAGTTTTGGGGTCTTGGACGCAATGAATCCGTTCTTTTCTGCGTTTTCGCCCACCAGGCTTCTGTTTACATACCTTGGCGAAGTGATTTGTTTTGCCACATTTCCCACATTCTTTTCCGAATGCTGGGCATTTATATCTTGATCTCTCATGTTTGCTGCCGCATTACTTACAATTAACCACATTGGGACTGCTCTTATCTTTGCCATGTTTTTTTCCTTTGCTGTGGAGCACGTTGACTTCCTCTTTTCCATTCATGACTTCCGTTTGCAATACAGTTGTTTCAGCTGATTTTGCACACGTCCATACACTTCTGGAGGCTAGTTTCGGCTCTTGCAGTAATTTCTTTCTGGTTCTGGTGTTGCAAATCCCACGGACAATTCTATCACGAATTAGTTTGTCAGTGAGTGGGCCAAAATTGCATGTTTTTGCGAGAGTTCTAAGCGCCACTCTCTTGCTCTTTGTTATTGAAGCAGTATCGCTTGTAAATGATGTTTGTTTGGCCTATGCAATGCCTCTCCAGCAACTCCAGGACTTTGCTCATTATTTGCTTGTCTTCTTCATTTGTGAATGGAAGACCACTGTAGACTCTGAGGGCCTCAGATCCCATGCAGGTAATGAGAGTAGCTATGCTTTACTTATTTTCTTGCTGGTTGAGACGTGAGGCGATTTCGAATGAATCCCACACTTGCTTCCACTTCTTCCAATTTTCCGAAATGTTTCCAGCCATGTCCAATCATGACGGGACAGGTAAGGTGCTTTGAATTTCATAACTTGGCGTTGGCGCTGGAACAGGACCATCGACGCTTGGTGAACCTTCAGGTGGTGCAGTTGGCATTGTTTTGAGGCTACACTTCTGACATCATATTTTGTTTAGCCATAAACATGAGACCTATTTCAGACAAAGCCTCACTTTTATTGAAGTGCGTGAACCATCTACAAGATCTGTCTGATTCAAGCGTTGCAAAACGATCACTTTATCACTGTATCATGTGTCACATGTGATGTATGTGATCTCAGAGTGAGCTCTCGTTACAACCACCACTACAAATAATAATAATTATTATAAAAGTAAAATTAAAGTGGCCATGAGCCACTCAACTTGGAAAATGGATTGTCTGTAAAAAGTGACAATTTTGATGCCACTGACTTGAGGTTTTAATCTGTAGGTTAAGTTTAAGTTGAAGCCCACTGGCAAAACGCAATGGTAAAAGAATACACGAGGAGAAGTAACACCATTGAAAACATTCATGCAGTTATTGGTGATCCTCGTCCGAGACAATTATACAGAAAGTACAGCCTCTTGTCCGATCAGCAAAGCAAGTATATTCGGATTCTCATTTTCACTCCTATTTTTTCCCTTCTTTATTTTCCCAGGCGATATTAGTGATTTTTTTTCTTTCTTTGTTTCCTTTTGAGAGATCTTAGAAATAAAAAAAAATTATCCAACATAGAGTCATAACACCACAAGGACAGCACCACGTGTCATCCGCTCAACAAAGTTAGGCCCTGTTCAGTGGGATTCCTGCTTGGATGGATCACCAAAAAAAAAATACCCTGTGTTGTAATAACTTCTGTTTTTTTTTTCTTTTTTTGTTTTTTTCCTTCTCTTTCCAAGGTGATATTAGTGACTGTTGAACCCCCAGTCTTGTGTTATGTCTTTTTTTTCTATTTATCATTTATTTTGTTCAAATCATTTTGCCATGTCTGTATTCATCTTTGTATTATTTATTTTACGATAATGTATAAATAATAGCGAAACAGTTCTCTTGTCTGTTAATTGTCCAAAACTTTTAACTTGGCTTGAATCATAATTTGAAAATTCATACAGCTCATCAATTTTGTGATTTTCAATATCTCCAGTTTTCAGCAATCGAGTATGGTTAAATCTGTATAAGTGGACACCTATTTATATAAATAGGTTCTCTATATAAAAACGTTTGCTCAAAAATCTATTAAATGTAGATCATTTCTGCAGTAAGATATTGAGTACTTGTGTCAGAAATCCAATGAATAACTAACTTGACACCATGCAGTTGACTGTAAAACAGCCTTGGACATTGCGATGTTCAAAACCTAGGAGGACTCCTATATGAAATGTAGGTCTAATAAGTGCTACAGACATCACAGTTTGAATGCACAAGTTTAATCATACTGGGCGCAAACACAAGAGTGTGATTCAACTGACAAATAAACGAGACAAAATGTTTAAGCACAAAATATAACGACACAAACGACTGACAACAGAGCAAATAAGCTTACAAAACTGTGGCGACTCGAATTCTAGAATTTGTACTTCAGGGCTCACAACAGTGAAGCAGCTAAGGAAAATGCGTTAGAAACCAACAGATCGAACTTTCAGTGTTAGCAAGCACTGGCAAAAAGGAAAACACAAAACTATGCATAATGAGGAACACTTAAGTACTACAGAGTGGGTTGCATAATTCCCTGGGGTCACGGAGAAATGTGAAAAGAAAGTGCTAGTTGCTACATGAAAGGTTGGGAATGCTTGTTGTCTCAGGTACAAATCAAGGATTCTGGTCTCACTGAGGGTGTTGATGACAAAACGTCACCATTCTTAGCTGTCAAAGTATCCTTTAGGGTGTACTCAAAGAAATAATAATAAAAGAAACACTCTCATTTGTTTTCTGCTGATCTCTCAAGTACACAAGTTGGGTCTGCAAGTGTGCAGGGGATCCGTTCTTGAACAGTGGCTAGTAATCGAACCTATTCTGTTTTAAGTGGTATCTTTTAGGGGTCTAATGAAGCGTAAGCAACGCCCACATCCCTGCAGACCTTCTCATTTGGGATTCCCCCCCAGGGTTCCAAGTGTCTAACAGGAAGTGACCCAGTGAAGGAGTGATGAAGTGAGATCATCCCACCACTACAACTTGGAAAATATAAATATATTCCAAGTTAAAAACATAAATTTCAGATTTTGGAAAATTGTAGGTGGCCCTGATCCCCCACTATAGAATTTTTTCAGGGGTGTCTACAAAACGAAGACCGAAGATCGAAGACCGAAGATCGAAGACCGAAGACCGAA